GGAATTAAACTTTGATTTTGATGTTTTATTCAAATAAAATTATGGGTAAACTACGCATTCAGTAGCTAAGTTATCAGTTTTGGTTTGTTTTAGTATTTAAACTTTCAATATTTTTAAAATCATACCTAATGTTTAATTTTCATTTCATTTTAGTACCTGACGTTAAAAACTTAACGTGTTTTGTACCTAACTTATCAGTTTTGGTACATTTTAGTACCTAAACTTTTAAATTTTTTTCAAAAAAATTAAAACTTGAACGGGGTACTAAAATGAAAAAAAATTAAAGTTTTTAACGGAAGGGTACTAACATGAAACAAAAATCAAACTTTTAGGTATGATTTTGAAACTGAATTGAAAGTTTAGTTACTAAAACCGATCAAAACTAATAGTTTAGGTACTAAATGCGTAATTTATCCTAAAATTATATATAGGCCCTATTTTTCTAATTTTCTTTAAAAGCCTATTGTCTCGTCTTTTTCTCTTCTGACCCAAACCCTAAGGTAAATTTTTTAAACCTATTCACTCGTCTTCTTCTATTCTCTTCTGACTCAAGCTTAACTTGAATTTTGATTTCTACTTTGGGTCATAAAATTTTGAGTTATATTCTATATGCATCTACATTGCTCTGCTATATTTGATTTTCTGTTTTTGGTCCTACTGGCTTACTTTGTCGAGAAAGACTGTATATTTAAAGGTCTTGATTTATTTATTTTTCTATTACACTGCTATTTGAGACCATTATTCCAGGTATCTTTATATGTAATTCTTATGATGGATTAAGAAGATATTGATGGCATGTTTATATGTAATTGTAATGATGGATGCATGTCAAGATTAAGAAGATATTGAGGGTATTTCATTAGTCATTTAAATCGTAATTACATTTGGAAATGGTAGTGAATCTACGGGTGATAAATGAGTTGGAAAAAGAGTTCAAGGTATTAGGTGAAAACCATTGGGGATATTTGATTTCTGCCTTTGTTTGTGCATTGCTCTGCTGTATTTGATTTTCTTTTTTTTATTATGATGTTTATTACTATGTCTCCGTTTGTTTATTTTGCTTTGTTCAGAATATTTTTTTTAAAAAAAAGGTATAGGTTTAGTTATTTTTGATTTAGGGGATTAGGCCTTTGGGTTTGGGAGAATTAAAAAAATATTTTAACGTGCCATATTTCCCTTTTCCTTCTTCTCCACCAGCTGTTTGGCGTTTAATTTGGATTCGATTGAAGAGGGGATATGGGTAAAGTGAAAGGAACGCATAGGTTAGATATCTAGTATAAGTTAGCCAAAGAACATGGCTACCGTTCCAGAGCGTCATAGAAGTTAGTACAACTGGATGACAAGTTCAAATTTCTAAAATCAGCGCATGTTGTCCTCGACCTTTGTGCCGCCCCCGGTGGTTGGATGCAATCGGATTTGGTTATCTTGTTGGAGAGTGATGGCACCTCGTATAAGAGTTAGGGCTGTAAAATTGGGTAATCGTTCAGGTTTCAGTCGGATCCTGACAGGTCAGGTAAAATCGGATACAGGTCAAGTCAGGTAAATTTGACACCAGATCCAGATCGGGTTTAGGTCAGGTCAAATCAGTTCGGGTTATTTTCAGGTTGATTTGACACCAGATCCAGATCGGGTTCAGGTCAGGTCATTTTCAGTTCGGATCGTTGTCAGTTCAGGTCAAAACAATTCAGGTCCGAACCAGTTAAAAAGTAGGTTAATTCATGTTCGGATGGACTTCAGGCGGATCTCGTTCAGATCGGGTCACATCATTGGCAGATAAAATTCAGGTCGGGTCTCTATCAGATACGGATTGAGTTCAAGTCGGGTTAATTTTTATTTTTGGATTAATTATTTTCGTCTTTCGCGAACGTTGAATTGCAATTTGTAATTTTATATGATTTAGAGTAAATTGCTAAGAATATAGATAATCATGATTCAATTTTATGAAAAATACAAATTTAATAATTAAATTGAACAAATATGAAATTAAAAATAAAAATTTAAATAAATTAAACAACACACATTTATGAGGGATCAAATCGAAATAATTTTAAATTGTGAGGTTGAAATTAATACAAAAAAATACTAAATTATACCCATTTAAAAAGTTATGGGCCAATTAAAAAATAGAATTAAGTAATAAGTATGGATCAATTTCATATGCAAATAAAATTTGGAGGACTAAATTGAACAAATATGAAATTACAAATAAAAATTTAAATAAATTAAACAACACACTTTGATGAGGGATCAAATCGAAATAGTTTTAAATTGTGATGTTGAAATTAATACAAAAAAGTACTAAATTATACCCATTTAAAAAGTTATGGGCCAATTTAAAAATAGAAATAAGTAATAAGTATGGGTCAATTTCAGATGCAAACAAAATTTGGAGGACTAAATTGAACAAACACGAAATTACAAATAAAAATTTAAATATATTAAACAACACAAAAGGGATCAAATCGAAATAATTTTAAATTTTGAGGTTAAAATTAATACAAAAAAGTACTAAATTATACACATTTAAAAAGTTATGGGCCAATTTAAAAATATAAATAAGTAATAAGTATGGGTCAATTTCAGGTGCAAATAAAATTTGGAGGACTCAATTGAACAAATATGAAATTACAAATAAAAATTTAAATATATTAAACAACACAAAAGGGATCAAATCGAAATAATTTTAAATTTTGAGGTTGAAATTAATACAAAAATGTACTAAATTATACTCATTTAAAAAGTTATGGGCCAAATAATAAATATAAATAAGTAATAAGTTGAGAAAAAATTAAAACAACTAATATATATATATATATAATATATAAACTATATAGTTTATATATAAAGTATATTTATTATATATATAAACTATATAGTTTATATATATATTATGTATAAAGTATAAACTATATATACCATGTATAAACTATAATACTATATAGTTTATATATGAACTATTGAACTATATAGAAACTACATAGTTTATATATAAATTATATATGAATTATATATAAACTATACAATTTATATTTATATATTATGTATAATTATAAATAATATATATTGTATAAATTATATATTTTATTAATATAAATTATATAGTTTATATATATATGTGTGTGGTTTAGGGTTTAGGGTTTAGGGTTTAGAGTTTAGGATTTAGGGTTAAATGTTTAGGGTTTAGGGTTAAATGTTTAGGGTTTAAGGTTTAGGGTTTATATTTATATAAACTACATACTATAATTTATATTTATATATTATATTTTATACTATTTATATAAACTATAGTTTATATTTATATACTATATATATGAACTATAGTTTACATATGAACTATATATATAAATATATATATAAATATATATATATATATATATACTAAGGTTGATATTTATATATGAACTATAGTTTACATATAAACTATAGTTAATATTTACATATGAATTATAGTTTACATAAGAACTATATATATAAACTATATAGTTTACATATGACATATATATATATATATATATATATATATATATTATAGTTGATATTTATATATATAGTTTACATATGACCTATATATATACTATAGTTTATATTTATATATATATATATATAAACTATAGTTAATATTTACATATGAACTATAGTTTACATAAGAACTATATATATAAACTATATAGTTTACATATGACATATATATATATATATATATATATATATATATATATATATATATATATATATATTATAGTTGATATTTATATACTATATAGTTTACATATGACCTATATATATACTAAAGTTTATATTTATATACTATATATTATATATATAAACTATATATTATATATATAAACTATATATACTATATAGTATAATTTACATATGAACTATATATAAAAATCCTAAACCCTAAACCCTAAACTATACGTTATATAAACTATATAGTATATATAAACTATATAATATATATAGACTATATGGTATATATAAACTATACAATATATATAAACTATATAGTATATATAAACTATATATTATATAGTTCATTAGTATATATAAACTATATAGTATATATAAACTATATATTATATAGTTCATTAGTATATATAACCTATATAATATATGGTATATACAAACTATATATTATATAGTTCATTAGTATATATAAACTATACAATATATATAAACTATATATTAATTTATTAATATAAACATATATATTAATTGAAAGAATTGAAAAATATGTAAAGATCAAATTGAACAAATTTTAAATATGAAGCTTAAATTAATAAATTATAACATTAAATTTAGATTAAATTGAAAAAAAAATGAAATATGAAGCTTAAATTAATATATTAAATCATTAAATTTGAACTAAATTGAATAAATTTAAAACTAAGAGACAACATTATAATATCAAATGAAGTTAAAAAACACGCGAGTTTTCTAAGCCACAAGGCTACGCCAACTGTGGCGCCAAAATCAGCATCATTTCCCGCCTGATGGTTTTATAACTATGCGTGTTTTCCTTCTCTTTTTCTTTTCTATTGGATCTCTTTATAACTACGTTGATGAACATGTTTTCCCCTTTTATGCGACTTAAATTTCAGGTGTCTTCGTCCTAGGGCTGAATTTCAAAATATCGGTCAGTAAACCATCAGTATCATTTCTGGATTCGAGCTTTAGGGTTCGGCTGGTTGTATCCAGGTCGTGGCAGTAATTTGACGTTTTACATACGATGAAGGGAATAACCTCCGCGATTCCTGCTTTGATTCTACCTTTCCCTGGTAATTCTCTTCCATTTTCCTTTTCTAAACTGCCCATTACGTGTTTCCTTTCAAGTTTTTCCACTGCTTCTGTTGAAAATGTGAATACGGGAATGTTCTAGACAGCTACAGGTAGGAAGCATTGTTTCTTCTAGTGGTCACCATAAATGACATCTTTTAGTGTACATGTTATTCATTGAAGAAATTAGGTTTGGATTGTTTCTTAATCATCATTATTTCAGACGATGAAATCTGAAGATAGGAGGAAACTTTTACTGAACATAGCTGATGCTCTAGAGGCAAATGAAAGTTTGATTCTGGTTGAGAATGCAGCTGATGTTGCTGCTGCCGAGGCTGAGGGATATGAGAAGGCACTAATATCTCGTTTGGCCCTAAAGCCTGGGAAAGCAAGCATCTGTTAACCTTGGATTTATGTGATAGAAAATAAATGAGTTTTCAATTTTGCATGTGTTGCTTCCTTTGATATCCAAGTTTGTTCTGTTTATTCTTTTGCTTAAGTGCATTCCTCAGGTTTCTCGTAATTTTTTTGTTTTACAGATTTCTGCTCTTGCGAAATCTATTTGTGTTATTGCTGACATGGAAGAGCCTATTGGTCGTATTCTAAAGAAAACAGAGGTTAGAAATCCTATATATATATATATATATATATTATAAATTAATGTGTCAACTTGCTTTCCTCATCACTAGTTTAACTATTTACTTTGACTGCACTTGGTGCAGCTTGCAGATGGACTCATCTTGGAGAAAACATCTTGTCCCCTGGGTGTCCTGCTGATTATATTTGAGTCAAGACCTGATGCCCTTGTTCAGGTAACAGTCCACTTAGCTTACAAGGTGCTGTGAATTTTCACTTTCATGTGAGAATTCATGATTTCTTGTGAACTTTTGACAGTTTCTCTTGCATCTTTAGGGATAATTAGTGTGAAGATACTTTCCTCTTAATCCTAGGTACACTAAGCAGATGTCTTGTTCATTGCTGTAGAATACCATCTTTTATCTCACATTCCAGTGAGAAATCATCTACTATTTGACCTTTTGTGAAGTCCTGTTCTTTGTAGTCACATTCCTTCGTCATGCTTTAGAGTCCAGTACATTGCTTTCTCTTGCTAGATGGAACATGGGATATTGAATTTCAACACTGCCCTATTTGATTACTGTATACAGAGTTCTTGTGATCTACGAATTCTCTAGCTTTGGAATATTACTTTTATGTTATATCTTTGGGTTTAAAGTTGTTTTTCTTGATTATTTTACTACCTTTCTTCCTTTAATGGTTCAACAGATAGCTTCACTAGCCATTCGAACTGGGAACGGTTTACTTCTTAAAGGTGGCAAAGAAGCCAGGCAGTCGAATGCAATCTTGCACAAGGTTCTAGGTTCTTGCAAATACTTATTCTGTAGCATACTCCTTACTGCTTTTGTTTTCTTCACTATTTTTCTCCTTTAAATATTTTCTTTTTCTATATTGTCAGATCATTACTTCGGTCATCCCAGAGAGCATTGGAGACAAACTTATAGGACTTGTTCCTTCAAGAGAGGATATTCCTGATCTGCTTAAGGTGAGTTGCAGGATTTTGAGTTCCTTACAGCTCTTTGTTATGCGATAGTTTTTAAGTTATTCTATTTTGCTACAGCTTGACGATGTGATAGACCTTGTGATCCCCAGAGGCAGCAATAGTCTTGTTTCTGAAATTAAGAGTTCAACGAAAATTCCTGTTCTTGGTCATGGTGGTAAGACAAATGTTGTAGCTCTTTGATGCACCATGAATTAGAGCTTCGATTGAACTTTTAACTTTTCATTGCAGATGGAGTTTGTCATGTTTATGTTGACAAGTCAGCTAATGCAGACATGGCCAAAAAAATTGTTCTGGATGCAAAGATAGATTACCCAGCAGCATGTAACACTATGGTAATTTCATTATACATAAATTTCTGCTTCTGTTCCCGTAGCTGCATATTTAATACGTATGCCTTTCTGTTTCATTTTATAATTTTATCATATACAATTTCTTGGATTTGTTCTTTTCTACTATTATAGAATAATCTGAAACAGTGGATAATTGAGAACTAGTAGAGGTATAAATATGAAAGAGTCTACAAAGTGATAGAATTGACTTCTTGCATGTTACTCCTGCCAAGTGGCTCATAAAGTTGTTAAAACTATTTTTTTTATGTTTTTATATATACATGTTTTGCAGTACCATGGTAGCTTTTCATTAAGACATTGGCTTCAGCAACCCAACTGGCTTCCAACTTTAGAAGCAACTCTTGCATTGGATGAAGAGTCTGTCAGGAGGGTAGGAGATGACTCAGTTGGGGACCAGCAGTTTCTCGTCAGTTGAGGCTTATTAGAATATTGATGAGAGACCTCGCTGTCGATTAGGTTACACCGTCAATTTGTGAGGTCTTTTCTTGTGGATAAAACTGGTAGACTCGGTGTTATATGTGTTTGTATAGATAAGAATTGGTAGAACAATGGGAACTCTTTGATCTAATTCTAATATGATGAAAGTTTTACACCAAAAATTATTTTTTTACGGTATCACATTTGGTAGTATAGAAAGTGGGCATTAAAAGGTGTGTACTCTCTCTTTTTCATCACTTCTCCAATTATAAATCATCCTTCAAATCTTTCACTTTTCTTCATCTTCAATCTCTTGTTCCTTACAGGTTTCTCTCTTACAAGATAAGTTAAAATCAAAATGAACTTGGGTTAGTCATTTAGTCTCCCATTTTCATTCACATTGTTGAAGTTAGGTTATGGGTTGTGGGCCTTTTTCTTATAGTTTTTACTTTATTTTCCTAATTTAGAGGCTCAAATTATTTTATATAATATTATTTTTTATTTATATAAATTAAACTATATAATTTATATAAATTAAACTATATTAATTTTCCTTTGCATTATTAATAATGTTTTATTTAATTTACATTTAAATAATTTTATTAATTTTATTAAATATTTTTATATAATAAGTCTATTTATTAATATAATTATCATAATAAATATTTTATTATAACATTTAAAAAGTAATCATATTAATATTTTAATTACACCATAAGCTAAAAAACTTATAATTTTATTAAAATCTTATAATTTTGTCCATGGTAATATATTAGTCAGATAAATATCAGATCAGATCATTAACAAGTCGGATCATTTACAGGTCAGGTTAAAAATAGGTCAGGTTAAAAACAGGTAAGGTTAAAAATAGGTCAGGTTGAAAACATGTCAGGTTGAAAACAGGTCAGGTTGAAACAGGTCGGGTAATACCAGTTATTTACTAGGTCAATCTCGGGTTCGGGTTCATATCAGTCGGATGCAGTTCGGGTTCGAGTATCATATTTTCGGTTCAATTCGGGTTCAGGTCGTTCTCAGGTCGGGTTCGGATCCACAATTTTCAGGTCCAAATCGGGTTCAGGTCAACACCAGTTCTGACTCGAGTCGGTTTCGGATCGCTACAGTGCAGGTCAAAAACAGTTTTGACTCGAGTCGGTTTCAGTCAGTTTTGCAAGTCGGGTCAGCTGTTTACAGCCCTAATAAGAGTAATGGGAACAAGATCAAGACCGAGTACAAGGCTGTCGATGGGTGTATGCCTAATCCCCTAAATAAAAATAACTAAACTTATAGCTTATTAAAAAAATATTATCAACAAAGCAAAATAAAACAAAGGGAGACAATAACAAACAGCATCATCAAAAAAACAAAAAATCAAATACAGCAGAGCAATGCATTAATAGAGGCAGAAATAAAAAAACGACCATAAATCAGAAATACATCCAAGAATAAAGGGATTCGTAGAAAGCATTGGAGGGAGAAAAACCATTCGAACAGGAGCATTCGAATCAACAAAAAAATATCAAAAAAAGAGAGCAGAACAAGAGCGTTCAAACAAAAAAAAGCATCCCAAAATACACAACCACCATTTAAAAAAAAGAATGAGAGATTTACCTTTTTTCAAAAGCTCGAACTGGGAAGAGGATTTTCGGTCTTGAAAGGTAACTATCCATGAACCTTTTATGGGGATGTTTAGGGAACAATTAGTGGTGGATCTAAGGCTCGGGATTATCTTTTGTTGGTGTTAATATTCGGCCAAACTGGAGCGGTAACGGTGGTTGTTTGGGAAGTTTGAGGGATTTCTCTGAAACTCTACTTTTTTATTTTGGGTGGCTGAAGCAAATGACCATTAGCGTTTTAAAACCCTTAAAGATAGTCTTTATATAAGACCCGCATGATGTCGTTTTGGTTACTGGAGAATTGCTTTGCTTTGGAAAAAAGGGAAAATATGTTTTAGATCCTTGTTACTCTTGTAGATTTGTTATTTGGTCATTAAATCTAATTTGAATTGTTTCATTCTGAGCCCTTGATTTCTTACTGTTTTTATTCTGATCCATTCCATATGTTTGCTCCTATTTTTGTGTTGTTCATACTTTGGATATATTGTTTTGTTTTTATTATTCGTTTTAGTCCATGTTGTATTTCTAACGTTTTAGTCCATGTTGTATTTCTATGCATATATATATATATATATTGTAATGCCCCAAAAATTTAATTAAGGATTAAATTGAAATGATTTAAAAATAAGAGGATTTATTAAATTAAATAATGAAAGATGAGGATGAAAATGATTCATGATTTAGACTAAATTGTAAGAAATGATGATTAAAAGGATATGTTGGTCATTGTGATTAAAATTGAATTTTAAATTCAATTAAGATTGGGAAATTAAATAAGGAGATAAGAGGATGAGTGGGGAGAATAGGAAGTCAACTCTTCTCTTCTTCTCTTCTTCTCTTCTTGCCGTGGGTGAGCTCCTCCATTTAGCTCAAAGGTAAGCTTTTATTTTAATGGTTATTTTCTTCTATTTTGTTGGGGGATTGAAGCTTTGTATATTATGGAAGCTAAAAGAAAGTTTAAAGAAGATTAAAACTAAGTTATTGATGAGATATTAGAGATTTAAGATAATGGGTTTTTGAATGACAAGATGAAATATGAAGGTTTATGGATGTTTCATGGAAGATTTGACTTGTCATCAACCTAATTAAGGGATATGAAGTGTTAGAATTGGATTTAGAACATGTTGAAAATTGAGTATGATTCTTGAATCTCATGTATAAGATAGGATTTTGAGGTTAAGTATGTATTGAATGAGTATTAATGAGTTTAAGCATGTATATGTGACTTAAGAACATGAAAGGGGAGGAAACATGGATTATTGAAATTGAAAGGAGTCAAATTTCGTGCTTAAAATGAGGTTTCTGGGCAAGATGCATCGATGCATAGGTGATGCATCGATACACCCTGGAAATGAAAAACATCGAATAAAATAAGTGCATCGATGCATAGGCAGTGCATCGATGCATAGGCAGTGCATCGATACACTATAGAATGCATCGATGCATAAGGGCCAGAATTGTTGAGTTGAGACGGAAATGTTGTAGAAAGATTAATAATAAACATTTTGATTAATGTTTAAGTTATAATGGTTAGTAAATACATTAACAATTGATAATATACAGGTACTCAATGAATGGGAGATATATCGAAATCAAGCTCCCTAGTCGAGTAAGGCGAAAGGCAAGGGTCAAGTTTAAGAGTATTCATCTTGCTAATCAGGATTTATAAACAAGGCGAACTAGGTGAGTGCATTTAATTATGCACGTACATGTGGTAATAGTTAAAATAGCATGCTTTATTAATGAATGTATTATGATTACCAAATGGCACTATATGTGCAAAAATGATAAGGAAATCATACTAAGTGTATGCATTTCCATATGGAGCACTGAATGTGCTAAAATGATAAGGAAATCGTACTAAGTGTATGCATTTTCATATGGAGCACTGAATGTGCTAAAATGATAAGAAATCATACTAAGTGTATGGATCTTCATATGGAGCACTAAGTGTGCTAAAATGTTAAGGAAATCATATTGAATATATGGATTCCCAAATAGGGCATTATATGTGCTAAAATGGTAAGGGGATCATACTAAGTGTATGTATTTCCATATGGAGCACTAAGTGTGCTAAAATGTTAAGGAAATCATATTGAATATATGGATTTCCAAATAGGGCATTATATGTGCTAAAATGGTAATGGGATCATACTAAGTGTATGTATTTCCATATGGAGCACTAAGTGTGCTAAACTGTCAAGAAAATCATATTGAATACATGGATTTCCAAATAGAGCATTATATGTGCTAAAATGGTAAGGGGATCATACTAAGTGTATGTATTTCCATATGGAGCACTAAGTGTGCTAAAATGTTAAGGAAATAATATTGAATATATGAATTTTCATATAGGGCATTATATGTGCTAAAAATGGTAAAAGAATCATACAAATGGTATGAATTCTTGAATAGGGCACTTTGTGTGCTAAAATGAGAAGGAAATCATATTGAGTATATGATATTTCAAATAGAGCACTGAGAGTGCTAATATTATGAGGAAATTATATGAATGGTATGAATTTCCTATGGAATGTATGGATTCCAATAATGATTAATAAAAGAGGTTAATGGCATTAGTGATGCAATAATGATAAGTATATTGGTAAAATAAACTTACAAGCTTATAGAATAATGGTATGTATATTGGTAAAATAAGCTTACGAGCTTATGGAAAAATGATAAGTATATTGTGAAATAAGCTTACGAGCTTATGAAATAATGGTGAGTATATTGGTAAAATAAGCTTACGAGCTTATGGAATAATGATGAATATAATGGTAAAATAAGCTTACGAGCTTATGGAATAATGATGAATATATTGGTAAAATAAGCTTACGAGCTTATGAAATAATGGTAAATATATTGTAAAATAAGTTTACGAGCTTATGAAATAATGGTAAAATAAGCTTACGAGCTTATGGAATAATGATGAATATATTGGTAAAATAAGTTTACGAGCTTATGAAATAATGGTAAATATATTGTAAATTAAGCTTACAAGCTTATGAAATAATGGTAAAATAAGCTTATGAGCTTATGGAATAATGATGAATATATTGGGAAAATAAGCTTACGAGCTTATGAAATAATGGTAAATATATTGTAAAATAAGCTTACGAGCTTATGAAATAATGGTAAATATTGGTAAAATAAGCTTACGAGCTTATAGAATAATGGTAAGTATATTGGTAAAATAAGCTTACGAGCTTATAGAAAAATAGTAAGTAGATTGTAAAATAAGCTTACGAGCTTCTAGAAAAATAGTAAGTAGATTGTAAAATAAGCTTACGAGCTTATGGAAAAATGGTAAGTAGATTGTAAAATAAGCTTACGAGCTTATGAAAAAATGGTAAGTATATTGGTAAAATAAGCTTACGAGCTT